GAATAAAAAGCAAAATGTCGCAATTTTACCTTTATTGTGGAAAATAATCACTTATTTTTCTCTGTACCATTGTACACCTTCGTTTTTTAAATACAAGGTCTCTGATTCTCTTGAGCAGCAGTAGTTAAGTAGGACAACACTCTGATTGTTGTTCGTACCACTCCGTAGCTGTCTCTAACGCAGAAACGTGTCAGCATTTGATGGGCCCTTTCTACAGTCGTTGTTGTTGTCTTTGTCTTCATCGGCGACAGGGTCGGATTCTTTTTGCATGGAAGTCACATCTCTTCCTCATTTAGCATTTGAAATCCAGTCTTCTGCATCGTATGCCATTCAGGTTTCTACATCAACAGAGCATGTACACACCCCCTCACTTGGAAACAAACTGATCTAATATTCCGCACAAATGTTTACCAAATCTCACACAACTGAAATTCCCCAAATATCCCTCACCTTGGGTTTTCCCGTCAGTTTTGGGCTCACGCAAAACAACTGTTGAGCATTGCAATGTTCGAAAACGTATCCGGACTTTGGTCCGGATAATAAACGACGTTCTACTGTACATGTACTTTTTTTTTTATGGAGACGGAGGCGGCCCCAAGCTTGTTGAATTCCAGTAATAAATTCAACTTGCAACAAAAGGATCTTCAACCGATACCGCCACGCATTTTAGTCGTGCACCAGCCCTAGCCATCTTTCTTCTGTATATCTGTACTTTTGCAATCTGTACAAACATTTCGCATGCCTTTTTCTTTTTGCACAAAATTTTATTTTGAACAAATGAATACTATTCAAGTAAAGCAAGTTCATTTTAGTTCACAAACGTGCTTAGTTGCTCTCGAATACATTTTACTCTAATTGGACTGATGAAACTTCGGCAAAACATTTGTCTAGGTAAAATATTCAATTAAATTTTTAAGATCACAAGTTAAGGCAATCGGGAGAAGATCCATTTCAAATGTGAAATAATACATTAAAAACAGGTGTAACCGCCAGAATTTTAAATGTAAATGTGCCGTACAAGTACTGGATGTCAGCTTGTGGGATGGAATTGCATGCCTGTTGCTCTTGACCGGGCTATATAAGATTGTTTAATTTTGGTTATGGATGACGCTGTCGTTGTGTCGTCCAATGATATCCATTCATGCTCTATTGGTGAAATATCTGGTGATTTAGCAGGCCGAGGTAACACGCTGACCCTCTATAGAGCATCAAAAGAGTATGAGTGAGCACATCCTACTGGAAAACACTCCTTCAATGATGTTTATAAATAGCCGTGTAACAGTCTGAATCACCACACTAACCGTAAAGTTTGCAGTCAAGGTATGTGAATTAACCTCGAGAGTGCTCCTGCAATCAAAGAAAATTTTTCGCGTCAGACCATAACTCTAGATGCAGGTCCTGTGTGTCTAGGCCGCTGAAAGTTTGTTTACAGGCGCTGATTTGACCTTCAAATTAATATACAGCCATACTGGCACCAAGGGAGAAATAGCTTTGACTACAACACATTTCCACTACGCTCTCCATTGATCACTAGCATGACATGTCAGTGATTTGAAACTAATGGTATGAACACTTCAGAGCATCTGGCTGGAAGCTATTTCTCAAACGATTGATTTATTACAGGTCACTCTGGTGCCGAAAAAACTATAATTTCTGATGTAGATGCATTATGATGTTCCCCAACCATGTGGTAAATACAGCGGTCTTCTCTGTCAGTGGTGACCCGTGCGTGGTTGGACCACTGTTTTCTTGAGGTAGTGGTTGACCATATATGGTTTTCCTTCCAAGATCACTGCTGCCAAAACATTGTGGACTAACATCAATTCGCTACGTCAAGTCTCAACGATAAATAAGAATATATATCATGAACTTTATAGAGCGTATTGAAAGTAAACTTGATTCATATCTTTATAATGGTGCAACTAGCACCACACTTAGACGCCTAATGCGAAATTTGAATCAAAGTCATATTTCAGATGTATAAACACACCTACCAAATTTCTTTGATATGTTTAATTTTTTCTTGGTGATGGTATTTTTATTTCCATGAGAGAATTTCCTAATGAAGTTATGGGATAAAAGATATGTCTAATTCAAAGCAAACTATTTCAAGCTAGGTGAATTTAGGCCTTAATAACAAGATAAAGATTCATAAAACTGTCCCAGGCTGAAAACCGGGAAACGAATGAGGAAAAAAAATCCACAATACTGGAGGCAACTTCCCTTTTGAAACATATGGACAAATATGAAACTTCCCTAATAACCATGATTTTGAATGTCATACTCTAGAGAATAAATGCTACTAGCAAATCATTGCAATAAGTTGAGTAGGAATTATTAAAAGGATGTAGTCTGCTAAAATCTCTAGAAAACTGTATCCAACATTTCAGAAATGAATTTGGAAAAAAGGAACAACTGATTTATCAGGGCTTCTCGTTTGAAGAGGAAACTGGACAAATTCGCAGTTAGCAAAAGAAAAAAAATTGTTTTCGTTGAAAAAGTAAATAAGTTGGTTGTGAATTTTTGAAAGAAGCAAAAATTTCACAGAAATAAAATATTCATTCTATGTAATATGCGATAGAGCAAGAGCAGAACTATCCCGAAGAGCTGAGATTTATGAAACTGTTATAGAACACGCTTTACCGTATTTTTGGACGAGAGATTATTACCTGAAATTAAGAAGAAAGCTATATATATATACACAAAAACTAAATGAAACTTTCAAAGACGATATTGATTTTTTAAAATTTAAACTATATAAATTGTGGATTAGTTTTTACTACTCGTATTTTTAAAAGTAAACGAAGATACAATGAGACCCCACTAGGAATTTATCAAGAGAAATCTTAATGTAGAGATACTTTCCCTAATGTAGAGATACTTTTGAAAATATTTTTAAGAATACCGATATCGAATGCATCAATTGAAAGATATTTTTCAGTTTTAAAAAAAGAGTTTTAAAAATTATTTAAATACTGTGGGAGGGAAGACAAATTGAACAACACGGCTATATTTTGAAAGAACAAGATATTTTGGACAAAATAGATTCGACAAAAATAATTGATGAGTTTGCCAAAGGCAAATCAAGAAGTAAAGTTGTTAGCTGTTTAGTAAGGTTGATATATTTTTTTTAAAAATTCAGTAAGATTTTTCTTTATCCCCGTTGAGGTTTATTATTAGCAATACATTTTATTTTGAGAATTCAAGGTCAGCGAATCTTTTCACTATTTTAGTTTCTCGAGCTCATGGGCCTCAAACCTTTTACCGCCAAGGGCCTCCAACTTCTTTAATCCGCCTCTGGTGGAGAAGGTGTTTGTGCTATCCTCTTTGTTGCAGTCCCCGCCAGGTGGCGCTACAGCATATCAACTTCTGCACCATTCAATCAATCGCCAAGTTGCCAACAGGATCGCCATTATTTTAAGGGTTCATTACTCAAAATTTGTAACAATATGCTGCTTTTGCTGAGCAGAGATCAGCTTAGGAAGGTGTTTTCAAAAATCGACCCACAAGGGAGTTACGGAGGCGCTTACATAAATAAAACCCTCTTTTTATCAGCTATTAGACCTACAGACTTAAATGTAACAAATATGATTTTTGTTCAACTAAGATATGCAATAAGCCTTTTTTTTAAAAAAAAAAAAATTGCCATTGACGTAAAATTAACTCATAAAAACTTCTTTATCCTTCAATCTGTATTATTTAAGAACGGGAATACCAGCTAGTAATATATAAAAGTATTGTCATTTCAAAGAGAAAGCCTAGTCAAATGGAATCGGGGCTGAAATACTTATAAATATTTTCTTATTTTGAGAGCATAAAACGTTCTATTTGTACAGCCGATCATGCCAGTCTTCTTTTTTTGAAAAACGTTTCCAAAATCTGGAGACGTTACTTAGCAGTAAGGATGTGTAATTACGAAAACATCTGCTGTGATCATTGTCAGAAAGATCATATGATTAAATGCATGAAAAAAGTTTTTGCAGCAGTATTTGATGACAGTAATGGGATACAAACTACAAATATCCCATTGTGGTCACTTAATTGATCCTGTAAAATGTCTAATTCAAAGTGGCCTTTTCGCAATTCCCAATTAAGCTGCGGATTCCATCAGGTGAATTTTAAAAAAAAACCGCGAGGTCTTATGAAGAGTTATGAAATTTTTTACAATGTTTAAATCTTTATTGTAATGAATAAGAATCCAGATTTTTGTATCCTTCTAATAAATTTCCTGTATAAGTTATCCATTATTTTCCCTTACTTTATTTCGACTCTCAGTTACTTCTTCCAGGTTAATTCCCCCCCCCCCAATGGACTTTTAATGGTTTTATAGAAGAAAAAATGAAGGTTTATATATAACTCGACTGATTGAATTGAGGACGAGAGTATGTCAGTGAATTAAGAATGACGTCGCTTTAGAATGCGATGCTAATAGAAAATCCAACCAAATTCACGAAAATGGTTGACGGGCTGATACATAAGTACGGAAACAGACAATTTAATGAAACAAACTGTAAATTTTGTATGAATTCTTTGTTTTCTCACTAACAACGAATTTCAGAGCATTTTGTTTCTGAAATAATATTAAAAAAGATAAGTCTCAGTTCCTACTTAGGCTGAAAAAGAAAATTTTATTTTAGTTACTTTTTATTAAATAGTTACAATTAATATAATGTGTATACGTCAGCGACACAGCGCATCTCTGTAATCCGATGTAAGCGGAAAGAGTAGAATACTTTCAGAGCGCGGCCTATCAGGTTAACACTGTAGATGTCATAAATATCTTAAACTACGTCTCTCATTAAATATAACATCTGTACATAATATTTAATAATATGACAGAATATCAATATTAAGTGGCAAAATGGAAAGCGATTTTCATTTTCCTTTCTATATATGGTGTTAGACTATTTTTTGTTTGTTACTGTTTATTCATTAATTAAATTTAATTATTCTAATAAAATAGTATAGTAAAGAAAGAAATCACATTCTCAGAAATTGGCCCTTCCAGGTGATATTCGAACCCACGACCTTTCGATTTAAATTCCAACGCGCTATCCATTGCGCAACAGAGACACAACGAAAGATTTTCCTTTCTATAAATGCTGTTGTTTTTGTTTGTTACTATTTATTTTTTTTAATTTAATAAATGAATTAATATTTGAAAAAACTCTGTATTAACATCAAGTCAGCCACTACAAGTTTAAAAAATGCATTTGAACTCGAATGGATGAATAGAAAGTACTTTATTAACGATTGAAAATTTGAACAAGATATATATATATAAGGGAGAGAATGAACAAATAGAGTAAAACTGAAAAAAAAAGCTAGAATTTGTTCCGAAAAAAAAATTACGCAAAAGGTTAAGAAACTCTTTAAAAAAACAAAGGAATAATAAAAAACAACAACACTAGAAACTTATTCAACGACCTCGGAGAAACGTGTGTAAAAACAGATTTTTTTTCTTCCAACGGGTGTGTACTCGATGTTTTCCAGCCAAGATTATTTTTTCAACTTCTCACCAACAAATGGAAATGGTTGGGAAAATAAACCAACTTTCTTTCTGTATGTATAGAATATTACTAATAATAATAGTAATAAATGTCTTTCTGGTCATTTCGATTTGTTGATTAAAAACTCAGATTTTTCGAGAACTCGATTTCAAAGAGCACAACATTAGTTGCTTGAAGTTCGTAGAATTGATACTAAGGTATCACCAGTACGCGCATATTTTTCAGATGTAGATAAGAAACATACTCTTTTGTTAACGATGGATATATTGTGGAATTTTGTTCATGAGGTTGTGATAGCGGTTAGTTCCTGCTTACATCTGAACCCTCTTGTCTACCTGTAAACCCAGCTAGATGTGTGGGAGAAACAGAATAATCCACAGACATGTTTTCAATCTAATCAATTCATTAATTCCAAATATCAATCAGACACAAACAAATCTAATTAAGGTAGATGAAATATAGTACAGCGTGGGGAGATTCTATAACACGGGGATACTACTACAGACCCTCAATTGAATCTAAGACCGCTTAAATACGCTCAAATATAACTACGTCGCACACTAATAAACTAGCTTCTACTTAATCAAACTCACAGTACCTGAACTTTTTATGCATCGGATCCTACACTGGAACTTGCAGGTGCTCTCTTCTGCTTGATCAATGTCGTTGGCTCCACGCTCTTTAATCTTTAACTAATTCCACTCCTTTTCAATCTTCAATTAACAACTAATTTACAAACTTTATGTTAACTCTTACTTGCCAACTCCAACGTGTCAACAACTCTCAAACTCGCGAAAACAGAATTTATATAATATATTCGCACCTCATTTACATAATCACCTTTCCTTACTCGATGAAAGTTGGTTGAAATTAAATATTTTCCTTAAAGAGATATGAAGGGATTCGTAGAACCGCGTATAGATCCGTCACAAGGTGAATTAAATATAGTAAGCATGACGTCTATATTCTTTGTTACCTTCAGCATGACGCCAATTAAGAAATGAGAAAAAGTTATCCGACAAAATATCTTCAGGAAAACGCAGTAATTTGAGTGCAATTTTTCAGCTCTGGTAAAATTGAGTGCATTTGGTGTATTTCTAAATATTTATTTAGTTTTCAGTTTATTCTTCATAGAGAAAGAGGATGGGGAGAGATAGGGAAGAAGGAAGAGAGCTACTGAGACAGAGAGGAGAGAAAGATAGACACTGAGAGAGAAGAAATAGAGAGGATGAGAGAGATAAAAAGGAAGAGAATGTGAGAGAAAATGAAACAGAACAGTGAGTGAATATTAACGTCGCACTGTTCAGCTACACGAGGGCTTTTGGCGACTAACCTCGTAATTTTGAACCATGGTCAAGTGACGAGGACGACATCTGAACTGGTACCACCTCTCCTAACTACCTCACCAATGGGAGGACGTTTGAGCTCTCGACAGATTTAACGTGCATCGCTTCCCTACACGGCGAGTGGCCGCGGTAGCCAAGTGGTCAAGGTATCGGATCATGGTTAGCGTGTCATGAGTTAAAGCCCCAGTACCACCGAAGACCCGCCGTGTAGGGGAGCGATGCATGTTAAATCTGTCGAGAGCTCAAACGCCCTCCCTTTGGTGTGGTGTGGTTGTAAGGAGAGGCGTGTGTCAGCTCAGGTGTCATCCGCGTCACTTGACTATGGTTCAAAATTACACGGTCCGTCGCCAAAAGCCCTCGTGTAGCTGAACAGTGCGACGTTAATATTCACTCACTCCCTACACGGCGAGTTTTCAGCGGTATTAGGCTCGAACTCATGACACATCGGCCACGAATCTGTAACCTTGACCACTAGGTTACCGTGGCTATAAGAGAAAAGAAATAGAGAGAGAGCGAGAGTTCATGTTAAAAGACAACGCCTATAGAGATCCTCCGGATATTGAAATTAATCTCGGGATGTGAATATGAATGAAATAAAATAAATAAGGGTATGTGTGTGTAAAAGTAAGGATTTCCAAAAATCAGATATTTTCATGAACTAAAGAGTATGATGTATATATTTTAGATTTATATTCGTTATTTAACCTTTTATTCCGTCAAATCATGTACAACAGTATTGCAATTAAAGCCTTGTTTATTATAAAATATTCTAAAAAATTTTAAAGAAAAATAAACTTAAAACATATTTTTGGTATATATACTATTTGGTTACTTATATATACTCGTATTTAACTATTATTTAAAGTTCTATATATATTATAAAATTTCCCTTTCTTTTAATAAAATTTGTAAGCTAGTCTGAATTTAAGAAAAAATGTTCAAAACTTTGGTAATCTTAAGATTTTAAATTTATTTTTGAAGCTATAAATAGCATGTGTTCTTTTAAAAACAAGTTTGCAGTTTATTAATAGAATTCAACTCCTTTATTACTTCCAAGATCACTTATTTCCATCAATTTCCACAAAAATTGCTATGATTGTATCGCATTCACCATTTTGGCATTAGATTTCTATCTGCATGGCTTAACATTCACAGAAATTTACGAAATATACATAAAAACTGCTACAAAAAATTAGGGAAGCACATGGATTTAACGAAATTACCCAAATACACTTTGAAAAAAAAAATCGAAGCACCCCAAGGAAGAATTGTCCCATTATGATGAAATTTCGCAGTCAAAGACATCTTGGTTGAACATGCAAATGATAAAATTTTCAAGGCCAATGAACGTGAGTTGCAGTCGTAGCGCGCCTTTCCACTGAGCAACTAGCAAAGTATAAAACGGCAATGTGAGGCAGAAATTTCATCTTTTTTCGTTTTCACCGTTATGATTCCCTAGAGAAATAACGAATGATGCCATCACACGATGCTTTCCAAGACCTTATAGATAACCGAATGACTTCAAACGTGGTCGCATTGTCGGAATGCTTGAAGCCGGGTGGTCATATCGAGAAAAAACGTCATCCTCTGCAACGCAGAGACATAGCTGTGCTAAGGTGCTGGCAGCAATGGTTGCTGCGAGGAATTTATCGACGAAATGAAGGCTCTGGAAGGCCAAGATGCACAAATACATGGCAATATTGTGTGATTGTTCGACAGACCCAAACTGCTCCAACAGCATCATTGTCTATTGTTCAACGTACTACAGCCTCTTCTCTACCCCCCCCCCTACCGAGGTACCTTCCACCATTCCACGGCACTTAAGCTCTCAGAGGCCTTTAAGACGTCAGCCCTTGACCGCACAACATCAGTGGATTCATCTACAGTGGTGTCGCAGCTGGCATCATATAGTGTTCAGCGATGAATCCCGTTTTACTTTTGAGGCAGATGACCATCGTCTTCGTGTCTGGACGACCGGGGTTAGCGGTCTCAATTAGCCTTTGTTTCACAAAAGCATGCAGCCATAACCCCTGGTGTGACGGTGTTGGGTGCTATCTCATACGACAGCAGGTCATCTTCCATACACCTTTAACAGTTCAACGACATATTGATACCATCCTGTGACCGGTTGAATTACCATCAATGGCCCTTTATCCGTGGTCCAGTTTCCAATAAGATAATTCCAGACCCCATACCACTCGCATATCTCTGGACTGCCTTCGTGCCGTTAAAACTCTTCATTGACCAGCAAGATCACCAGATCTTTCACCAATCGATCCTTTCTGGGACGTGATAGAGTGCCACAGATTCGGGCACTCCCGAATGTCACAGATCTGGAACAACAACTGGTGAATGCTTGGTAGAATGTATTGCAGGATGACGTTAGGAACCTCTATCACTCTTTACCGAGACGTATACAAGCATGTATCGCCTCCAGGGGTGGTTCCCCAACCACTGATTTGAACATTCAAGCTGTAATCGTGAGCCGTGGGGATAGGTCTATATTCTTTTTATCATTTTATTATCTGTGTATGAGCTGTGCACATTTTTAATTTCATTAAAAACAGCTACTTTCTTCATGTGGTGCTTCGATTTTTTTGCAAAAGAGAGTATTTCTGCTGATAAATAGTGTAAAACAAAACATCCATAGTTTAATGTGTAGCAGAAAAAAGAAGAAAAATTCATAGGCAAATTAACGTTCACGACGTCAAAAACCAGAAAAAGGATATAAATGCAGAAATCGTGATTTCACAGAAGCTGTTGTTTTTGGTTGTCTCAGTTGTGAAATTCAAACTCTGAGCGCTGTTGTTTCGAGAAAAGACAACTGGAAAATGTCACGACAATGTGATCTACCGGAATCCATGGCTTGGTGTATTATCGGGAGACTGGTATCTGGGCAAACACAAAGAGCTGTAGCTCACGTTTTTGGAGTGGTAAAAACTTCTATTGCAAGATTATGGAATCGATTAGAAGAAACTAGGCATGTTCGACGTCGGCCATGAGAAGATCATTCACGTGCTACCACAACAAATAATGACCGATATATGCTGTTAACAGCTCTTCGAGACAGAACAAGCAATGCAACGCAGATTCAAAGACAGTTTCTTTTGCGACAAGACGAAGGGTCGTAAGTTGAATCTGGCACAGGCTTCATGCGGTTGGTCCGTATGAGCCTAGGCCAGTAGTGCGTCTTCCGTTGACAACAAGACACCGCG